ATTCAGCTCCTTCAAGTATGGATACACAGCCACTTTTGGAAGACTAATGGGGTAGCCTATCACCAATTCAGCACTACCTATTCACCTTTGGGAGAATTCATCACTAGGAAATAGCATGAAGGTGCTTCAAAGGAAAAGTGGATGAAAGTTTTTACACATCTTCAAGATCGGGATATTACCTACAGAGCCCCTTGGTTGTTCCTCGGTGACGTTCTTTTCCGGTGTGGGGATTCTGATACTATGACCTTACTCAAACTTTGGGGTGCAGTTGGGTATGCTCCATTGTTAGCACTTAGACAGTATGGGGCACGTCAGTTTATCCCGGTAACATACGGCCTAGCTAGATCAGAGTTTGTGTGTAATGGTGATAGTTATAAGAAGAGGATCAAGGAAGCAGCTGATTCATGGAAGAAAGTATACCGGATGGATGTTGTGGCTGCCAGAGACATGCTTACTCCGGATTATGTGGAGTGGCGAAGACTGAGAAAGAATGATAACATCCCGGTGCCAGAATGTGAAGACACCCGGACCATGGAGGAACATCTCAGGCATGTCCCTTCTGAACTTGAGATAGCTAAGGAAGAGTTTGAAGCTGTGAATAATGAGATGAAACAGAAGGTTAAAGAACTGGAAGATGAACGTTATCAATGGAAGCTAGATGTCGAATCTTAGAAAGATAGAACAGACAAGCTGGAAAGAGAACAGAAAAGAGTCCGTTTTGAGCTCGAGGATTTGAGAAAAGGGTATCAAGATAAAGTCAAGGATAATTCCAAGTTGAAAGTAACCTCTGAATACTGGAAAGATGAATTTCATAGCTTAAAAAGAAAGTTTGAGGGGTCTGATGAAAGAGCTTGGAAAGAACAATTGAAAACTTCTTAGAGGCGCTTAGCAGACAGTCAGCATCAAAATCAATGCTTGAGAATCCAGATGGCTGACCTAGAAAAACAACATGAGAGAGATGGAAAAACAATATTCGAGTTAGAAGTTATTGTGGATGGATTCAAGAAGCAAGCAACAGAGCTTCAGATAGTACCCTTCGACGGAGGTCTGCAGTGGCGTTTCCATTGGGAGCAAGCACAACAAAGGGTGAAAGCTAGAGACGCAGTCATCCGAGATTTCCTGGATCAAGTGCAAAAAGCAGCCTGTCATCTTCATGGCCTGTCAAGGGAAGCTGGAGTTGTTCGACAAGGCATTCAACCAATGACAGATGAAGGCAGAAGACTTGTCAACCTATTAGAAGCTATTCGGGGTCTAGAGGATTTAGTCCGAACGTACCTTTGATTGTTTTTATGTCTCTTACAAGATAAAACATTTCTGTCTAAATAAGGATTATTTATAGTAATAGACACTTTTCTGGATCAATGCCTCTAAATTGCATACACTGTGCATTGCATACTTTGCATTTTATATTTTATATTTCATGTTTATTTTTATATTTTCCATGTTTTTACATTCATATTAACTAACAGAGCATGTCTTAGAAAGGGAAAGAGCAACCAACAAATTTACCACCGCAAGCATTAAATACATATCATCCACATAATACTCGAGCAAAGAAGAGACAAATAGAGGCCAAAATGGAAAAACTCGAGGAGAACATGGCAAGACTGCAAAAAGAACTAGAAGATAAGATGGCTCAAAACAATCAGAGCATCCTGGAGTCTATCAAGAAAAACCATGAGTCCTTGGTTGACCAAATTATAGCCAAGTTATCGGGATTACAACAAGCTAGTGCAGTAGGGGGAAGTCCCTTCGAGGGGGTAACCATATCACCAATCCCACAAGTGGTTTTTTCACTCGGGATCTTACTCAAACCATAAGAAAACTCTACTATCAAAGGAAAAACATCATCTGCTATAAAGGTACAAACTTCCACAACTAATCCTGATAATCATCCGGATGATTATAATATCCTGGATTTCAATGAAGATGACAAAGCAAGAAAGATGAAAGAGAAGATCAAGATGTTAGAAATCGAATGAAGATGGTCCAAGGGGACCATGACTATTATGGAGTGGATGCAAGAGAGCTGAGCCTAGTTCTAGATTTGGTGCTTCCACAAAAGTTTAAAGTTCATGAGTTTGAGAAGTTTGATGGGAACAGCTGCCCATCAGCCCATATCACTATGTTATGTCGAAAGATGACAGGATATGGAGAGAATGACCAACTCTTGATCCACTACTTTCAGGAGAGCCTGTCCGGTTCAGCTATCCGGTGGTACAACCAAATCAGCCGAACTTATATCAAGACATAGAAAAACCTAGCCAAGACTTTATTGGAGCAATAAAAACATATTAATGATATGAGAACAGATCGAGTTATGTGTCCACTCTTTGTGAGTACTAAAATATGATGCGGATATGTGTGCAAGTATACACAATCGAACAAGTAATAAAGTGATAAGTAGAGTATCGTCTCCACAGGGAATTGGGGAAATCAAATAGGTTTGTCAAGGCACTTTACTTTGTCACCCAAGTAAAGTTAGTTATGGTATATACAGATGAGAATGCAGTGGCAAAATGGAATGGACGTAGTGGAAATGGAGTGGTGATAGTGTGGTAGCAGATGGATATGTCGTGGCAAATTAAATTGTGATGCGTGAAAACAAATGGAAATGTCATGGCAAAATAAAAATGCAAATACTAGATTTAATATATGTAGGACTTTAGCTTTCTCACAAGACAATCAGCAATGAAAATGAGTGATGGGAGACACAAGGAAAACTTAAGTTTATTTCTCTGAATGGTGCTTCTTCTATGCTTACCCTGCCCGACAGAGTCTACTGATGTGCCCTATGCTATCTCTAGTAAGGGACTCGACAGACTAAAGATGCCTTGGCAAAACCGATTGGCATAAACCCAAGCAGTGATCCTATTGACTCAGCTAATAGAATATGTCTCGACAATACCTTTTTACGGCAACATTAACATCTAACCTATCGTTTATACACAACTCCTTTTGATTGAATGAAATACTATCCTTATCTCTAAGGTGGATTAGGCCTAGTTACTATCTAGAACCCGTTGTTTATGTAGTTCCTCCCTAGCTTCTCTCGAAGACTAAAGATAAATTGCCAAGGCATTCTCTCGAACCTCATGAACCCTCCTAAGGAAAGGCTACTCTCGTAGCTCCTACAACCTTAAGGCTTTAAGCTTCACAAACAAAATAGAATAAAGCATCAAACAACAACCATTCATTAAAATAAAAACTTAAACAACCATGCGAACTCCCACCAAATAGGATTAGTTCATGGTGGGGTTCGAAATCAACAAGCACAAAGCAAGATTCATTCGTTCCTTACAACCCAACAACAAAATATAAAAGCAATGACTAAGGGGAGGAGAAAAAGCCTTCAACGTGCACTGCCAAATGCCTTCCTCAACCACCAAGGACTGCTCCCAGCGGACTAGCTCCTCTCGGATGCTCAGTATGCCACTCCCTTCTGCTAGTCAAGAAGAAATGCCACGGCAAGTGGGATTGACAGAGAAAGATGAAACTTTCTCTATCTAGCCTTTTAAGATCAAATGTGGCTGGAACTAAAGTCCTCTATTTATAGGGGAAAAGAAATCCTAAGGTTTGGTGTTAACCATCCTAGGAAACCCCAAAACCATGGTTGAGTTGCTTGGGAGTTGAGCAGACTGGCATAATCCCGCTACAGGCGCCCTAGGACCGACAGGATCTGCAGGGTCAGACTAGGCAACGACATCAACAAAACCGGTGGTTGAAGCGCCATGCTGCGGTGGGTATCTCGGGCAGAGCATGCGTAAAATTCGGGACAACTGGCTAGAAAATATATTCTCTCTCCTTGTACGCTCCTGAAATGCCATTTGAACTTGGCATTTTTATTTAGCTCAGCAATATCCTTATGTCACGGCATTTTAAATCCTCTTTTCCTTGCTTTCAACACCTGCACATCATCAGACAAGTACCTTTCCCATAAAGCAGCACCGTTGTAAAAATAAAATGCAACGGCAAATTGAAATTCACCACATGCAACTATATGCTCCTAAATGCATCTAAATGGTTCTAAATGGTCTTTTAGACATTCAATAACTTAAGTAAAAAGGTACAAAAATGTGACCTTTTACGGAGTTATCACACCCCCAAACTTAAGCTATTGCTTGTCCTCAAGCAATGGATAGTATTAAGCAAAAGAAAAATACCATGGCAAGTTCAGAAGTAGAATAGTTTTATGGGATAAAATTTCAGCCCTCAGCTCATATGGCTTCAACATGCTAGACTAGTTTGAGAAAATAAGTACCGTCCCCTAGGGCAAGATTCTTTATGTGGGTGTGTGCGTGTTTGTATCCAGTCCATGCTTAACAAACCTAAAAATTTTCTACTCAAGCTTTCTCAATTTACCATGACATTTTCAAATTACTACTCCCCTTTGTTTTCTTTGATTACTTCTGCTACGAGGAGAGTCAGCCCATCACTCTACCATCCCACACTCTAGATGAAAGGGAGCATACCTTTCACCCCCGAACTAGTCAGGTAGAGTCATCCTATGACTACTTTCATTCACTCATATGCCAAGACATAGCTAAGTGTTCCTCTACAGATATGCCAAGGTATTTATTTATAATTTATATTTCTTTTTTTTATGCGGGGTTTTCATCATTCACAGTTTTATGCCACGACATTTAAGAATTCTCTTAAAAAAATTTCTAAGTTTCTCAAGCATGGAAAACATACACTCGTGTTCAAGGGTTTCAAAGAAGCAAGTCCTAGAGTTGATTCTATCATCCTCAACCAGTCATATACATTCTATCCTAGCCATCAAGAATTCTTCATCATCGGGCATCCTCAATTAATTCCAAAAAACTAATTCTATATTTACTAATGTCATGGCATTTTCATTTTACTAATACTATCATACAATGATGTGAGAACCCTACTTCCCCTAAACTTGAGAGAAGCATTGTCGCGAATGCATACTAAATCTAAGAAAAATGAAAACTACATGCTATGAATGCAATGCAATGCAAGGTACCTTGGCTTCATGGTGGTGGTGCAGCAGTTGCACGGCGAGTGCGCTTACGGAGCTTAGCGGGGCTGGAATGCTCGGAGTCAGAAGCTGGTGCAGCTGGAGGAGTTCTAGGGCCTTCTTGAATAGTTGGGAGCGGGGTTCTCCTGATGTTGAGATGCCTTTCGTAGGCAACGTCTACTCCTACGCAAAGGAGCTTACCGTGGCATCTCCGATTGTGACTCCTCGGCTGACTCAGTAGGTTGTGATACTTCGGGGTTGTCTGTTTCCATCGGTATAGCAGGTGGTGGCATTGCTGGATGTTCTTCTGCGAATGGTTCAACAAATTGGGCAGGCTCCGGGAAATTAGAAAGTTGGAGGTTGGCTTCTCTATCTTCATCAGGCGAAACTGCGTGGATCGGATCAGGGTCCACTGGCTCCTCTGCTTCAGCTCGCTGGGAACTGTCTTTACTCGATGAATGTTGAGCAGCAGCTGGGGCGGGTGGAGGTACTTCTGCAGATGCCTCGGCATCTCCATGCGATGGGACGAGCTCATCAGGAAAAGGAGGAATGGTAAAGTTAGTGTGCGGGAGGAACTCCATCAGTGCGCTGGTGAGAAAGGCATCACGTCGTTTGGCATAAGCAAAATAGACCATTAGTTTGTCGGACAGCTACCCAACTTACTGGTGAGTGCGCTGGACGGCTTGATCTAGGGCGTTTGAGGATGCCCTGACATGTGGTGATGATGCAACGCGAGATGCGGTTGCCTCGTGTTCCTTTCCTTTGGCTTCCTTGTAGCCCAGCAACATAGGTATTTTCGCTTTGTTGAGTCCAGCAATGCCCGGCAAAATCTCATCAAACATTTCTTCTCGAACTTTCTTTTTTCGGCATAAAGCAGTGATGAGATTTGGGAATACCAAGGCACTTTCCTGTTGCTTTAGGTATAGATGAGCATGTTCCACGATAATCTTCCCTATATCGATGGTTCATCCGGCGATGATAGAGTGCAGCAAAAGCATCCGCTGGCATGATACAGTTGTATTGTGGGAGATTGGCATAAGCTTGTGCTTCATGAAATGGTTCCACAGTTTGACATGGGGGAGCAGTCGATCCCTATCCACGGTCTTTCGTTTCAGTTGCTGACCGTTCCACTGAGTACCGGGAAGACACAAGTCTTCCAGGATGCCTTGGTAAGTTTTATGGTCGGCCTCTTGGACAAAGCTCGCATGGTGGTCATCAGCAACCTGCAGTTTAAAATAACGGTTAATAGCGGTAGGAGTAAAATGAATAGAAATGCCACACGATCCATCACGGCATGTTGATTTGGCTCGATAATGTTAGAATAAAACTCCTTCACTAATGTGGCGTTGACAGGGGCAGGATGTTTGGCAAACTTCTGCCACTTATGCTTAGTGACCACGTCCAGCACTTCGCTGCCCAAATCAGCGTTCTCCTCCTCGGAAAAGACAAAGCCCAACTCGAAAAAGACTCGCCGGTTCTTTATGATTTGACAGCGTTCTGGCAGCCTCGTCGACAAAGCGTGGTGGGGCTGGTCGTGAGCGAACCATTATGATAATAAACTAAAAGCACACGGCCGAAGCTTGCAACTATGGTGGTAATGGCGGTTTTGTCAAAGTGGTGGGAGAAAAAGATGAAATGAGGTTAAAGTGAAAGTGAAAGTGAAAAATGGAAAGAGAATAAAAACAAAATAAGGAGTTTTAGTGGGAAAAGTTATAAATAGGTGGGGTCAAGGCGGGAAAGAAACAAAAGGAAAGTGAAAAAATTTTATCTTCTAAGTTAAAAGTCAAAAGGTAAAAATTTTCCCTCCTTTTTCATTTTCGTTTGCCGCCCAAACTTTGCACAATCATCTTCTATACTCCTCACGTGTTTTGTGCGTGGAAAATTACTGATCACATGAAAATAAAAATTAATTAGTTAAAGATAGATATTAAGAAAATGCAAAATAATAAAAATTTTATATACAGAAGCAAAATTAAATTGTCACGACATCTTTAAGATGCCGAACCGGTGTCGACGTCATGCAAGAGAAACGCCGACTTGTCACGCATAGGTGGGATTCCTTGATAAACCTTCAGGCATTGGCCATTGACTTTAAAGATGGATCTGTCATCCATGTTCTTAATATCAACAGCGCCATAAGGGTAAACATGATAGACTTCGAATGGTCCCGACCAGCGTGACTTTAATTTTCCTGGGAAGAGTTTGAGCCTAGAATTGAACAATAATACTTTCTGACCCACATGAAAATGCCGTGGCAAAAGCATTCTGTCGTGCCACTTTTTGGTTTTTTCCTTGTAGAGCTTGGCATTTTCATATGCTTGCACTCGAAACTCTTCCATCTCATTTAAATCAAGCAATCGTTTCTCCCTAGTTAGTTGCTCGTCGAAGTTTAGCTTTTTGATTGCCCAGTATGCCTTGTGCTCTAGTTCAACAGGGAGGTGGTAGGCTTTTCCATATACCATCTTAAAGGGCGACATTCCTAAAGGTGTTTTGAATGCTGTCCTATATGCCCATAATGCTTCGTCAAGCTTTGGGGACCAATCTTTCCTTCGGGGGTTAACCACCTTCTCAAGGATTTGCTTGACTTCTCGATTGGATACTTCAGCCTGTCCATTCGTCTGCGGGTGATATGACGTGGCAATCTTATATCGCACTCCATATTTTTGTAATGCCTTGGCAATCAGCCTGTTGTCAAAGTGAGTGCCCTCATCGCTGATAATAGCTCTTGGGACTCCAAATCGAGTGAAGATGTTCTTATGAAGGAACTTGAGCATAGTCTTTGAGTCGTTTCTCGGCGTAGCAATTGCTTCAACCCACTTTGAAACATAATCCACCGTTAGCAAGATGTATAAATCTCCAAAGGAAGATGGAAATGGTCCCATGAAATCAATGCCCCAAACATCGAAGAGCTCAATCTCCAGAATATTTTGCAGCGGCATTTCATGTCGCCTGGAAATATTTCCAGTGCGCTGGCATCTGTCACATGCCTTGCAAAATGCGTGGGCATCTTTAAATAACGATGGCCAATAAAAACCTGACTAGAGGACCTTTGCAGCAGTCCTCGAACCTTCAAAATGTCCTCCACAAGTTGATGTGTGGCAATGGTGTAAGATATCGCTTTGTTCTTCTTCGGGGACACACCGTCGAATCATTTGATTGGCACATTGCTTGAATAAGTACGGTTCGTCCCAAAATTAGAACTTGGCATCATGAAGAAACCTCTTTTTGCCCTGGCTGTTCAGTTCATAAGGAAAAACACCACTAACAAGAAAGTTAACCAGGTCAGCGTACCACGGAATTGCCGTGGCATATAAAATTTTCTCGTCAGGGAATTCTTCTTTAATATAAAAAAATGTCATGGCATTCTGAAATATTTTCTAGCCTAGATAAGTGGTCTGCAACCTGATTTTCAGTACCTTTCCTATCAATTTCCTCTAAGTCAAAATTCTTGCAGAAGTAATATCCACCTGATCAGTCTAGGCTTGGCATCTTTCTTGTTCACTAAATATTTTATAGTTGAATGATCAGTGTGAACTATAACCTTGGTGCCTATCAAGTATGGCCTAAATTTGTCAAATGCAAATACCACGGCAAGTAATTCTTTCTCAGTGGATGTGTAATTTAATTGTGCATCATTTAAGGTACGGCTAGCATAATATATGACATGAAAGATTTTACCTTTACGTTGCCCAAGCACAGCTCCCACGGCAAAATCACTTGCATCACACATTAATTCAAATGGGGCCGTCCAATCTGGGGGAACTAAAATTGGTGCAGAGATAAGTTTCTGCTTCAGCTCTTTGAATGTGCCATGGCATTTCTGATCGAACACAAAGGGTTGGTTCTGTTGCAGCAAGGTGCACAAAGGCTTGGATAGTGTGGAAAAATCCTTGATGAATCGTCTGTAAAAACCAGCGTGGCCAAGGAAACTCTGAATGCCCTTGACAGAATTTGGTGGGGGAAGCTTCTCGATCACCTCGATCTTAGCCTTGTCGACCTCAATGCCCTTTGCAGAAATTTTATGTCCTAGAACAATGCCTTCAGTCACCATGAAGTGGCATTTTTTCCAGTTTAGTACGAGATCAGCCTCCTCGCATCGCTTCAGTACCTTTGCCAAATTACCGAGGCATTTTTGAAAATCGTCTTCGAAAACAGAAAAATCGTCCATAAAAATTTCCAAAAAATCCTCCAACATGTCAGAAAAGATGGCTTGCATGCAACACTGAAAAGTTATCGGGGCATTACAGAGTCCAAAAGGCATTCTTCGAAAAGCGTATGTGCTATATGGGCATGTGAATGTCATCTTCTCTTGGTCCTCTGGTGCGATGGAAATCTGGTTATACCCCGAGTAACCGTCCAAGAAACAATAATATGCCTTGCCAGCAAGTCGATCCAGCATTTGATCGATGAACGGTAATGGGAAGTGATCCTTCTTGGTGGCCTTGTTAAGGTTGCGGTAGTCCATGCAGATTTGCCACCCGGTGACCGTGCGAGTAGGTATCAACTCGTTGTCTTCACTAGTCACCACAGTCATGCCTTCCTTCTTTGGCACGCATTGAACGGGACTTACCCGCGAACTATCCGAAATAGGGTATATTACTCTAGCGTCAAGCCATTTGAGAATCTCTTTCATCACAACTTGTTTCATGATTGGGTTTAATCTTCGTTGTGGCTCTATGGACTTGCCGTGGCATTCTTCCAGCAAAATTTTGTGCATGCATATTGTTGGACTTATTCCCTTGAGATCTACCATCGTCCACCCTAACGCTTTCTTATGTTGTGACAAAACACTTAGCAAACTAGATTCTTGGTTAGGAGTAAGGGCAGAGGAAATAATCACAGGCAAAGTGTCATTACTACCCAGATAAGCATATTTAAGATGTTGTGGCAAATTTTTAAGTTCAAGGGTAGGTGCATGCTGTAATGAGGGCTTAGGAGGAACAAACTCTTCGAATTTCAAAGGTTCAAAACGCATACCTGGGCTAGCTTTAAGGAAGCTAGCCTGCTGTTCCTTGGATGAAAAGTCATTCGGCTCTTCGAGGAGCCTCTCATCAATATCCAGCTGAATGAAATTGTCATGGCAAAATTTATTTGCCTCTTTTGTAATTTCAGTGTCTACCTCAAAAATGCTCTGACATTCTTCATAATCATCCATGTGTTTTATAGATCGAAAAACATTAACAGTGATATGTTGATCGGTCACTCGCATGGTTAGCTCACCCTTCTCGCAATCGATGAGAATACGACATGTGGTTAGGAAGGGTCTCCCCAATATAATGGGCGCTGTGGCGTCGACCTCACAATCCAGAATCAGAAAATCGACAGGGAAAATGAACTTGTCAACCCTCATGATGACATCTTCAATTCGCCCTTCTGGACGTACATGTGATCGATCGGCAAGTTGCAAGATGACTGAAGTAGGTCTCGCATTTCCTATCCCCAATTTTACGAAAATCGACTTAGGCATCAAGTTTACACTTGAGCCAAGGTCACATAGTGCTTTTCCAACAAATTTGTTTCCAATCGAACATGGAATGATAAAGCTGCCCGGATCACGTCTTTTTGGTGGTAGCTTGCTTAAGGAAGAGCAAAATTCTTTTGCCGTGGCAATTGTTTCGTACTGCTCAACCTTTCT